ACCAGAACAGGCAGTCTCTCTGCTTAAAAAAAGAATGTCAATAATAAAATATTCAATTTTTAAAAAAACATCCAATCCAAAAAAATTGGAATACTGTACTGTCCGTACAGCACTGTACCAGTACCAGGAAGTCTGAAGACTGTCTCTCAAACCACTCTGTAAATGCTGGGAAGAGCGAGGAAGCAGACAACCACCCTCTTTGCTGGCCAACGGTTAACTGAACGTTTAAATTTTGCTCTTTTCCCGCCTCCCTCACCGTTTTTTTTCCCATAACTTGATCCACAGGTTTGTAAGTAGGGCCCACTGTTTTCACCATTTTTTCCCCCATAACTTGAACCACAGGTTCGTAAGTAGGGCCCACTGTTTCTATGGATCGGGTTCATAACTCGGACAATGTTCATAAGTAGGGCCTGCTGTTTTCTATGAGATTAGGGTCGTAACTTGAAACGTTCGTAACTAGGGCCGTTCGTAAGTAGAGGGCCCACTGTATTTGAAATGATGGCATCTGAGATACAAATCATCAGACAGTTAAGATTACGTATAACTTCCCATTACAAATAATCCCCCTTAGAAATGGGTGGGTCCAGAATGGAGCAGCCAGACTGGTGGTGGGTGCAAATAAATTTGACCACATCACTCTGGTGATGGCCTCCACTGGTTGCCCGTGGCATCCTCGATCAGGTTCAGGGTTCTGACACTCATATACCTACAAAGTCTTCCATGGTTTGGGCCCATGTTACTTGTTGGAGCATCTTTCCTTAATGTCATCTGCCTGACACACAAGATCATCCCAGTTGAGACTCCTCCGGGTGGCCACCCAGAGGGAGGCCCATAAATAATCTACTAAAGGAAGGGCCTTCTTTGCAGTGGCTCCAACTCTATGGAACCAGCTTCCAGAGGAGCTCTGCCTAGCCCCCTCCCCGTTGACATTTAGGAAGCAAATAAAGACATTGCTTTTCAAGGAAGCTTTCCACACTGATCCCAGCTGATCACTTTCTCCCCACTTTCTCTCCCCCCCACTCTTCTTCCCTCCTCTCTTTTTCTCCATCTGCTCTTGGTTTATATGATTAGTTGGTGTCTTTTGTTTTTTAAAGGGTTATTTCTGCTGCTTTTAATGTTTCTATGTTTCTGTTTGTTTTCTATTGTATGTGTTGTAACCTGCCCAGGGTAGTGCTGTGACAATAATGGAACAAATTAGAGAGAGAGAGAAACACTTTGAAAGTTGAAAAAGGAGGTTTAATTGTCAGCTGTAACACACAAGAATTATGTCAGCATTATGTACAGTTTGAATTTTGGGTTCCTATAGCATGGGAGAGTCCTTGTCCTTTGGAGCTTCTGGGATATTGGCAGTACTTGAGGAAGGCTGGTTGTCTATGGATTTCAGATTTACTACAGATGAGAGGTTCAGAACATCCAGAGGTAAAGGAAGAATGAAGCTAGAAGGTTTCTCTGCAGACAAGTTTTGCAACGTGTGAAGGTAATGGAGAGGGATTGCAGCTGGTGTGTGGGAAAGTATCTCAGCTGCCATCTTTAGGGTTTCAGAGGTGGCCCTTTCTCCTTCAGCAGCTATCATCTAAAATACACAACCATTTAAGGAAATTTCTTTGATTAATTCCAGAATAAATACCCTTACTGGGTTTTTTTCCTTCAGATATACTGCCTCTGGTGCCATATGATGCTATATTATCCAGTAGTGCCCACTTCCATGGACACCTCCCACAATATTTACTCACAAATCCCATTCAGCACAAGATCTTCACATTATTCATTGAAAGCTCAATATGTACAGGTATTGGCTTGGATTTCTTTCATGCATGTATGGGAGTAGGGAGAAACAAGATGGAAAATTCTAATGGCTTGTTCTCTCTGCTTATAACTATGGCTGGCTAGTACATAAATGTACCAGTGGAACTAACAAGACTCTGAGTGAAAGGAAGCCACAAAGTGAGCCATCTCTTACACCTCCCCACCAACCCTAGAGTTTTCTGGTAATAAAACCATCCACCACTAATATGCTGTTGGCTTACCCTCACTGTGGCCCGTCTCTGGGCTTCTGCTTGTGCAGTCAGTGTTTCCCGAAGCTCAGTTGGCAGCCGTATATCTTTACTGAAACAAAAATAGGTACCCTGAAGATTTGGCTGCCATTCCAAATGGGGAAAATAGAAACCATTTAGTTCAGGAATAAAATGTGGGATAGAGCAGTGAGAAAATGTCCATTATCCACACAGCTGGCAGGCTTGCCACCAAGATAAATGTGATAGTTGAGCTAGCTAGGTCAGCCAGCTGCTGAATATTCCTAGCAGTGTACCTCCTGAGCATGCCAGCTCCTCCTTCAGCAACAACTACTTTTCTGTTACCCTTCCATTGACAGCAAGATGGACTTCTGCATCAGGTTTGTTCCTATTTGTTCTATCACAAGAAAGAATAGCATTTGAATGTATCTCTGGAACTTCCCAAATAAAGTTTAAATGTTTGCTGGGATATTGTTGTGCATATTTGAATAGGTTCTTCATAATCTGTGTTTTTCTTGGCTTCTGGTAACAGGGGCAAGAAAAATTGAGAGAGACCTGGCAATATTTGGAGATAACTCTCTTTTTTGCATGTTGCCTGTGTCCTTAGTAGCAGGAGAAAGGACACTATTGCACAGTGTTGCCAGTGTGAATCTTAGCATTGACTTGGTAGGCAGCATTGAGGAAGTCATACTACTGCACTGAAGCAATTACTGCTGCTGCTTGTTAAAAGAATTCTGTCAAAGACCTTCTGCAGTAAAATGCTACAAAAGACTGTAGGAACTTACCCTAATGGTGAAATTAACCAAACAAGAGTAACAGGGCTAACCCAGAAGATTTTATGCTATTTGATACATACTTTTACATTGTGAAAACAAAAGAGGAGCAGAACACACACCACAACTCATCATAAACAGTGGCATTTAGCTTAATGTTATACCAATTCAAATAGGCAGAGAACAAGAATATACAACCAAAATGTTGTTGTAAGAATTTTTACTATTCTATTTTGTTTATTTAATGCTTGAATACAGCTTTTACAAACAAAAAACCCAAGATGCCTGCTACCTTCTTTGTGTGTATCTGTGGAGTGTGGAGAATGAATATGTATGTGTGTGTGTGAGAGAAAGAGAAATACTCCTAGCTTCTGTCTTTCACTATCCCAAGAAAATATCAAAAAAAAAATGTTTTCCAAAGCCACAAAATTCTTCCTCTTCTCTTAGTTCATCCAAATTGAAGAATGTCTCTTCTGAATTCTTCCACTACTATGGCTGGCATGAGTGGTATGAGGAGAATCAGGGTTATCTTGCAGCAAGGATAGTTGTGTGTATGAGGATACCCCTACTCCCAGCCTACCCACTTGCCCTGGGATGTGAGATTAGCCACAAATTATACAGTTGAATTTCCACATTTCAGGAAATCACAGGAGTCAGCACACCCAGAACAGGACCACTCAAATACCCTATTATTTCTTTTTCTGTAGTCTGAGAGTATCACAATAAAATGGCAGCTACTTGAGAGTTTAGTCCAAAGTGAGTCTGAACATCTAGATTGCTGCTGACCAGTAGCCTCCAGCTGCATATATTTCCATAAGGTTCCATAAATAAGTCCTGTCCTCATTCAGGTTTTGACAATGAGTCAGAACAATATTATTTTCCAACCTTCTTGGTTTAAAAACAAGTTTTATGTGTCAGTTATAGGTTTTGGGAAAAAAAATATATGAGAGGAAGAAAAACAGGTTTAAATGGGGAACACAGAAAATGTAAAAAGCATGAAATTGACATTCAAAATGCATTATACTGCTTAAATATGGTGCTAAGGACATTACTCCAAAGATGGGGGCAACTTTACGGCTTAGCTGACCTAGCTGGCTAGTACCCTAGCAGTTAGCTACCCAAGGACACTCCTTGTTCATGGGAATGCTAAAGTTCTCGTCACAATGTTTTGACTAGCTTAAAACATCAAAACTATATAAATTGAGATTTCTATCATGTTTATGGAACATCAGACATCTGGGGGTTTTTTTGTAAATGGGAGAAATCTCTGCTGGAAACTGGGTGAGATTTATCTAATGTGAATTATTTACTATGCTTGTGCTATGCTCAATTCTTTTTTATAAATAATATGTAGAGATTTTTTAAATGACTGAACGGGAGTTTTATCTAACTGATAGTTATTGGCTAAGAAAATAGCCTTTTACTAAAGGGAAATAGTTTTTTCTTGTATCCATTGAATTACTAAACTTAAGTTTTATACTGTTCTAACAGAAACTCATACTTTATTAGAGCCAACATTCTTTTTTATATAAAAGGAATACTGTCTACATATATTAACTAGAAAGTTTTGTATCAGAGGACTCTGATGTTTTTCAATATACAGTGGTGCCTCACTTAGCGATTGCTCCGTGCAGTGATGAAATTGCTTAGTAATGGACTTTTTGCCATCGCCAGAGCGATCGCTTAGCGATGGCCTCTATGGGTAAAAATTGCTTTGCGATGATCGCGGGGACGTGATCATGGCAAAGCGCCCATTTTTTAACAGCTGATCGGCGGTTCCAAAATGGCCACCAGAAAAACAAAATGGTGACCGCTGTTTTGCCTCACACCCAAAATGGCTGCCACTATGGAGGATTTTCGCTTACACGTATGTTTTTAGCCCATAGGAATGCATTAAATGCGTTTTAATGTGTTCCTATGGGCTTTTTAAAATTGCTTAGCGATGTTTTTTCCTGCACGGATTAACATTGCTAAATGAGGCACCACTGTTCACTCGTACTTTTTAATGTGCATTCCAGTTATATTTTACATTTTGGATTTTATTTACTTAAATGCTTGCTTGCTACATAAATCTTTTAAAGAAGAAATGGATTCATTAATGAACTTTCAAGTCAAAATACAAAAGGGTATCCAGGAATGAAGAATTAATCAAATATAAACAAGGTATAATATCTTCTGAGACCACAAATACATTCCTCATCAGATGTATAGAAGACACAAATCTCCAAGTCTCTCATGGATTCTGTAGATCAGGAGCCCTATAGAGGACATTCAGATTTTCCCCTGTGGAAACTGATATGTTTTTAAAGAAAGCTTTTTTTATATTATATTTTTATTGAGCATTCATTGGAGGCCTCTGGTGAGCAAACAAAACATTGGCTAGTTTAGGATGACCTCATTCCCTGAACCCATGCATTTGGAAAAATACAAGGAGGAAAGAGATCAAGAAGACCAATTCTTTCAACCTCCAGAAACCTCTTTTTTTCTCTCCTTACATTTTGTTACCTTATTTTTTTCCTGCAGGTCACACATTTCATACCTACATTTCTGTTCGCTCCACCTTGATCCCCCATTGACAGGTGATAGCGTCCACAGCTACCTGCAAAGGCAAAGTACACTTGTGATAGGAAATGCAACAGAAGTCTTCTTTGAGTCAACTAGGTTGGAGAAATAAGGAGCCATTGCTGCCTCTTTCATCTCTAGAGAACAAAGATGTCTCCTCTGCAAGAAAAAGGTGTGAGAAGTAAGTTTACAAATAGAAATCTAAGGTCAAAGGAATGTCATCATGAGTTAGAGCAGATAAGAAAACAGAGGAAGTCTCTCTCTCCCCCCCCTTCCCGGTGCAAAGACGGGCATCTTCTTGATTGTATGTCGAGTTGCATTCAGTCATATCTGACAGTTTTTGGACTATAAATCCTAAACTTACCCATACTGGTTGGGGCATTCTGGAAGCTGCAGTCCAAAATGTAACTTCCCCAAACTGTGCTATAATTATGTGCACCCTAAAGACTTCCTTCTGCCACAAAACCTCACATACTTCTGTAGACCTTGTCTCTTTGTGGATGCATTTGTGCTGGGCAGTTGGATATTCATTTGGTAGGCTCTGCCTTCCTGGGTCTAGAGATCTATAGTTTTAGCAGGTAGACATGCACTGAGGTACAGCTCAGATGATACAAATCAAATAAAGGAGCAGATGGTCTTATGGGACAGACTAGGCACACACATAATTATTGTACATTCTGCTACATATGTTTTAAATAGGACTCCAGTGTAATGTAGCATTTATGTGACAGTAGCCAAAGCCAGAAACAGCTCCTGCATATTTTGAAGCAGGGGTGGGCAAACATCAGACTTACAGGATCTACCTTGTTTTTTAACTAGAATCCAGAGATCCAATATCTCTGATATTGAATCTCTGTTCAGGGATGGATAATAATTGCAGGGAGGAGATAACTATTTTTTCACACAAAAGTCCCATTCTGGATTTTTTTCAAAAAGAAGGGAAAGCTTTTTGTTATTAAATGAACAGGAGTCAGAGGTCTTTGCCAATGTACCATTAATCACCATCTCATCCCTTGCTTTAAGGGATAATGGTATTCCCATCATGTGGATGGAAGATGTGGAAAGGTAAGATTACTTTCCCTGTTACCAACTGGTAGCTGTTGGGGGGACTTGTTGCGGTCTGGGAACTGAGTTCCCCTCCCCATCTAAGGAGAGTCCAGTCAGGGAAACCTGGTTCTATCATTAGGGTGCCAGCTAATGACATATTGCTAGATATAAAAACACACATCCTATTCTGGCATAACCTGTTAAATTGCATGAGGAACCAGTCGTTTTTGAGGCAGAGAGTGGCAGCAAGATTTTAATTACAGAAGAACACAGATTCCTTCTCAGACTTGTTGAAACATTTGGATACCTGCCACAGAAAGCTGCAGGAAAGCAGTGGGCATGTAACCAAGTAGGGCACTGATGGGCATGTCCCTCCATCCTGTTTCTAGTTCAAAGGGAAGCAAGGGAGAAACTGCATCAACTGGTTTGGGACAATACGTGTCAGAAAAAGGAAAATCAAGAGACCACAGTGGGCAATAGAGAAGTCTAGATTCCCTCAGTATCTGTTGTGGTTTCAAGCTGAAACATGCCTCTACAACAAATATAGCTCTTTGGTCTCTGGGAGAGGTGTGTGTACTTTCTCTGGACTGGTCTTTCACTATTCCCATATTCAAACAAGTTAGCTCACTTGTGGATTGCATCTCACGTCTTCAGTGCTTGAGCACCTGAAACCTCCCTATTCACTGAAGTGGGTGTACCTAACAATACTTCGAAATAGGATGAGCCAAGGATAGTTATCCAGATGTTGTTGCTCTTAGCATTTTTCATTGGCTATTGCATGGGAGTTTGCTGGGAGATACAGTTCAGCAACATCTACAAATGGCACTGCTGGATTGTTCCTGGTACTTTTAACCAATTGCCCAACTTTTTTGTGATCTGCATTTCCCCTTCTTTCATAGTTATTTTGATGTTTGCTTCATGGACTATCACTTTTGTACATTAGTGTGTTCTTAATGTGTTTAGATTTTGTTTGTATGACTATTTTCAAAGGATATATAGTGTTTTGTTCATTGCATATAGCTTAGGTATCCTTGAGGGGGGTAAAGTGGAGGAATTATTAGAAAGCTAATGACATGCTGATTTGATCAACAGAGTGTGTACCAACATTATTGTCAGCCTAAAGATTACTGAAACATGTTACCCAATAAATAATTTGCAGTCACTTTAGATCAGAATTGGACAAAAGGAAATGCCATACACAAAACAGGTGATGGAATTTATCGTCATAAAATGGACGCTCTCTCAAAAGAGAAATCTGAGAGATGTCCAGTTTGGTCTTGCTGGAAACAGAACACTTGTTGGTTCTTAGGGTGTGATCAGATGGAAATTTATCTTGTGGTTTGGACTGGTTTTGGAATAGTCACGAATGATCTATTTTCCGGTGATTACACAACATAAAAACTATCATAAACCAGCCTTTTCCATGGTTCTCTGCATCTTTTTGGATCAATGGCTGTTGGTTTTTTGAAGAAGGTAGGATAGCTTCATTTCAGTTCGGTTTCCAGAATGTGTGATTGCTAGTATCAAACCACAGCAGCACTGATGGGTGTTTCATGTCACTTGGATAGCAAGCAAAAAATCTGACTTTCCCCTAATCTGTGGAGGGGGAGAAAAAAAGAGGGTGGGGAAGGAGACAGAAAACATGAAGAAAAATCTTTTTCCAGCACTATTGTCACTTGGTGGCAAGCCAATGTAGTGTTATGCCATTTCCCAATAGTTTCCATGGAGAGGGAGATGGGAGGATGTGGGGGTATGGAGGCAGAGAGGTAGGAAAGGGCTAAATAGGGTCACTTTGAAGTGTGATGTGGTTTCTTGTCCTGAAACTGTCCAGTGCTTATGTGTGAAACAAAGATTGCCTTAAATGACATGCCACACCTTGAAGCGACTTCTTTAGCCCAGTCAAGCCCTGGATAACATAACTGTCTAGTTGCACCTTAGTCTGATTCAACAAGGAATTTTTATGAGTCAGCATATTGTGAAACCACTTTCAGTACACTAAAACTATCCAAGATCAAATGAACAATATCTTGCAGTACCCTTTCATTGGTTCCAATACTTTGCCAAATTCTACTGATAGAATTCTCTGAGAAGGCCTTTTATTCTGTGAAATATATTTTACCACCATACAGAGTTGAAGCAATCATAATTATGTCCACCTTTATATCCTGGCTGATGCACTTCCTTTCCATCAGGATGTCAGTGAGGGACCGATGTGCCAACAGACGTTTTGTGATGGTCTGCACCAGCAGTTGAACTGCATTAGATAGGTTGGCCAGAGTGGTCACTAGAAGCTTGGCATTCTCCATTCGATAGTAGCAGACGGTATCTATTTCTAGACTCATCATGTCTTTGGTTATTACCTAGAGCAAGCAGAAGGCATTGCAGTTGGTCAGCCAAGATAACAAGGTGGGGAAAGCTCAGTTGAGAGAAATCTGAAATCAAGAAATCTGATGCCACCAGCAACAGATTGGGCTGGGCAGACTTTACATATTAATACAACAATTGGCATAAATTCTATTTGTTAAGACACAAGGCAGGTGGTCAGCAATCACATTAACTCAATTTTGCAGTGCACTGCCGAAGAATAAACCATGCTTAGATGTTATATAGTGCTTCTGAATGTTCAAGTCATTTCACGTAAGTTATGTAATTCCACAACAGTTTGCAATTATACACCAATACTGGGTCACTAGTATTATCTTGATGCTGGATGATGGGATGGAGGGGTTGAGGGTGAAATGTAGTGGCTTGCCTAAAACTGGGTAGTAAGCTCATTGCAGAGGTGAGATTTGAACTGTGGATATCAAGTTTTTAGGAATGGAGAAAAGCATAGCTTGCTTCTGTATTATAAAAGGGTGGCAGCTGAATCTGTGTTCTTGATAACATGTGGAAATGTATTTCAAATGGATTAGGCCTTACTTACCTCATAAAAAGGAATTTCTAGGGTTTTAAGACGAATGTCTATTTTGTGGTAGGTGTCCAGACACGGAAGGAGGAAGAACAAGCCTATTAGGAGAAATAGAACACAGCTATTGCAAGCTGGAGACCACAAAAAGAAATCACATGTTTTCCCATGAGCTTCCACTGCATCAAATACACATTGTCCAGTTCTGTATTCCTTGTCTCACACTTTGGAATGAGTGTATGTGACCCCTCCCCATGTCCTTAATATTAAAAAAATGGTCAGAATGAAAAAGAAAAGGTCATTTGGCTCAGCCTTCAAACTTAGAGTGTATACAGCCTTCCCAAAACCATGCGGTCCCCATGTTTTGGATTACAGCCTCCTCAATGCAGGACGATTGGCCATCCTGGTAGGGGCTAATGGGAGATGAAGCCCAAAGTGCCTGGAGGGCATCAGGTTGGGAATGACTGGTTCAGGCAGGCAGCCTCTTATCCGCTTTGGTTGGGGAAACAGAACACTCTTTCCCATATGTTGAACATTGTAGGACAGAGCCATTGTTGCTTGTGGTGTATTTATGAAAACATATACTACTTTTGTCCCACTGTTGTCCCTGTTCAAAGAGGTCTTACAGATTTTTGAAAGAGCTACAAAATCTGTGAAGAAAAACTATGGTGAGATTATTTCCTTGGGCTTTTATGCTTCTGTCTCTTCCAGCCCCATACTTCTTAATTCTGTGATGAACAAACCTTGATCTTCTCACTCTTCCTTAAGATCAAATTAAATAATGATGGTGGTGGTGGTGGTGGTGGTGATGGTGATGATGATGATGATGATGATGATGATGATGATGATGATGATGATGATGATAATAAGCAGTCAGTTCAGACAACATATAATAATAACAATAACAACAACAACAAAACAACAACAACAACAACAATAATAATAATAGCAGCAGCAGCAGCAGCAGCAGCAGCAGCAGCAGCAGCACAATTTGGGGAAGTGTTCCTTCAAGTTTGTCATAGCAAATGCTTTCCCTCAGTTCAGCATCTGTATTTAACTGTGCCTTGTTTTGTGATAGGTGACTGGAAGGCGACCATAGGTGTACTCTGCCTGGTTGCTGAGCAACTTATCTCTGAGGTGATTCCATTATGAGAGGGAAAACAGATTACTCATAAGGAATAGACATTCCTGTTAATGTCTTATTTTCCTACCCATTTTTTTAAAAAAACTGATATCATCAAAACAAAAATGTTCAGATAGGTTAGTGGACTGTGTACCCCATCATGATGCAATTGTATATCATAAGGGTCTGATTCAACAAGCTGTTCAATAGTGCCCAAATAAAAATAGTCTCTCTTAATGTTTAATTTGATCCTCACTTTTCTCAGTTTATAAAGAACCTGTGAAAAACTTCAAACTCCTTGGAAACATTTACTAAATTAATATGTAGCCCTAAAGTGGATTAAGGCGTAGGACAAAATCCCTTACTTGTTAACCTGTCTAACTATCCTGAGATGGACATGGCTCTTGTTCCTGTTTCTTGTGTTAGCAAAATTGTGCTGACAGAGCAATTTGCTGACTGACAATTTCATAAGCAGAACTGTTGTCTGTTTAAGGGAACTTCTTAGGCCTCCAGTAAGGCCATTTATATTTTAAGGGAAAAGATAACCCTCTTTCCCTCAAACAGGATACAATGACACTAGGTGTGTTTCAGGAGTGTAATATAAGCAGTAATACACACATGCAGACATGGGAGAATTGTTTTGCTAGAAAACATAGCTAGTCGCAGTCTCCTAGGTCTTTGTTTCCAATGAATCTAATGCAAGCAAGAGTCCTCTGCTCAGATGTTACAGAAGAGACATACAGTGGACCCTCTACTTAAGGAATTAATCCGTATTGGAATGGTGGCTGCGAGTCGAAAAGTCTGTAAGTTGAATCTCCATTGACCTACAATGCACTGAAAACCGATTAATCCCATAACCAGTGGTTTTTATTCTATTTTTATTCCATTTTGGTTTTTTTCTGGTCTGTAAGTTGATTCTCTGGCTGCAAGTCGAATCTAAATTTTGCAGCCAGAGAAGTCTGTAACTCGAAAAGTCTGTAAGTCGAGCCGTCTGTAAGTCGAGGGTCCACTGTAGTGGATGCATTGTGACAATGAAAAAGCTTTCGCATTTCTGATATGTGAAGCAGCCCTCTCACTTTATTTATAAGTCTGTGCTTCAGCCTACAAATAGCTGGTAGATGAGAGCAGTACACAAAAGAATTCTTGGTGACTAGTTATGCTCCCTTCACACGGTACAAAAAGGTACAGCTATACGTAAGCTGAGGCTATGGCAAAAGTGATACTCCTTACCAGGTCCTCTGGGCTTCCCCTGAAGGATGCGCCCAAACCGGAATAAAATAGCTCTCTCATACTCCCATACAATCTGTCAGAGAGAAAAAAATTGAGGTGATGTTTTGTTGATTTGTGAATGTGAATGCTCTGTGCAGAACCAGCCCACAACACTTAGTTATTTGAAAGAAAGGACAAGATGGCAGCCCTCTCCTGTTCCATTTATGTAAATCAACTGGATTGGTATCTGAATTTGACTTTAGTGCTGGTGATAGGAAATAATTTCTTGTTGCACCCGACAGCAGCAAGGTAGTTTATGGGGGGTAGAACAGGCCATGTGGCACACCCTGTCCTCCAATATTGTGTTGCCATTCCCCAGCCCCCAGATCTGTAGTCTCATGCTATTTAATGACAGGGTTTGCCCTGATACTGTTTCTAAAAGCAGGAAGATATGGACTCAAACTTATCCCTTCTCTGGGGCCATAACATATTTTGTATGAACCGGGGACAGATCTGTTATGAAACAAATGAAGCTTAAGCTTCAGGGCCCCTAATTCTGGAGGGGTCACAGGAGTAAGTTCAGTCTACATTGCTTAAATATTTTGGGTCTACTGTACGAGAAGTGTTTCTTTAAAAAGCGCCCCCATAACAGTTCAAGAATTTGGGCCCCCAAAATGTAGGTCCATCACTGGTGTGAACCATAGTTATACATAAGCAGACCATAGCCTTCATCAAAATGGCAAACTTTTAAAACTGCAATTTTGCACACACCTTCATGCAATGTGCAATAGACATTTTTCTGTCTCTTATCAGTGACAAAATCCTGCTGCATAACTTATTTTATTTATTTGTTTTATTTATAGGCTCCCTTTCTCCTGATAAGTGGACCCAAGGTAGCTCCTAACGTTAAAAGAATAGAATTAAAAACATAATAAATTAAACATTAAAAAACAATTATTACTCAAAATACAATTGAATAATTAAAAGCAGGTAAACATTAAAAACTTTCTTAAATTTAAAATGGCACTCAGGGACTCAATCATTATTGTTAAAAGCCTGCCTTAAAAGATGGATCTTTAGCTGTTGATGGAAGGGCAAAAGGGATGGGGTCAGCCTGATCTTTTGAGGGAGACCATTCCATAACCTGGGAACTGCCACAGAGAAAGTCCTCTCCCATGTCCCCATCAGCTGTCCCAGCATGGTCAATGAGATGAAGAGAAGGGTCTCCTCTGACAATCTCAATGCCAAGAAGTCTCATATGTAGCGATAAGGTCCTTCAGATAGCCTGTACCCAATCAGTATAGGGCTTTACGGGTACTTTGAATTGGCCCTGGAAATGGACTGGTAGCCAGTGCAGTAGTTTTAGGAGGGGTGTTATATTATCCCTATAACTGGCCCCAGTCAATACTCTGGCTGCTGCATTTTTAACCTGCTGAAGAATCCAAACCATCTTCAAACGCACAGAGAGTGTGCTACAGTAATCCAAGTGGGATGTAACTAAGGAATGTGTCACTGTAGCCAAATCAGACTTATCAAGGAATGGGCTCAGCTGCACACCAGTTTTAACTGTGCAAAAGTACTCCTGGCCACCACCAAAACTAGGCATCCAGGTTCAGGAATGAATCCAGAAGTAAACCCATGCTGCGGACCTTTCAGGGGAATGTAACACCAGCACAAGTTGTATCCCTGTTTGCTTATCTGCCTTCCAATTGATCAGGAGCACCTCTGTCTTGTCTGGATTAAGTTTCAGTTTGCTTGTCATCATCCAGTTTTATTATGCTTCTGCAACTTATACCTGCAGAAGTGTGATAAAATCACTGAAAGGGGAGATTCTCTTCTTTCTATCCCATGGGTTATCTGACTCATTAGTAATCTATTTCATTGCATGCAAGCAATGGAAGTCTTGAGATAGAAAGAAGTACTAGTATTTAATTACTAAACTTTCCTCCTTGTCATTAATGTTATCCAGCAGTTGAGATCTTCAGTAAAGACTTCCTCCTTCTGTCCCAAAGCTCTGCCACAATAGCTTGCAGGCAATTAAACTGATTATTCATTAATCTGGCATACCACAGGATAAAATGAGGAAATCTTTAATTGCAAAGTACCTCCTCTTGCCAGGGCATCTTCACCTTCTGAAGGTGTAATTTACACAACAAAATTTTAACTTGTCATCTATCCTGGAAGAAGGCCCCCGAATTCATAGAGGGTTGAAACAAATTGATTAAAGGAGATAAAGCATGTTTACTTTGGCATTCTGATACTTGTTCTCCCCATTTTTGATTTCCCCCACCCCCAGTGAATGCTTGCCATTTTGGTTTATCTTTCATCATATCAGGATTACCAATTTGCATACATACCTGTGTAAGATCTGGCATTAGTCCAGGTCCTGCATACGTGTCTACATACATGCATGTGTCCAACCAAAACTTTTTCCTGTGCCACTGGGAACTGGTACCCATTGTGGTTTGTAGGGCCAGCGCGCGCGCACACACACACACACACACACACACACACATTCACACAACACACATGCAATATCTTACCCTCACCCATTCATTCATTCATTCCACAGATTAGTTGAGGAGCTAAAAAATATACTATACCACAATTAAAAATATTTCTATTAGCCATTGCTGCCGTTTCTTCTCTGTGTGCTTAGATTCAAAGATGTGCAGTTGATTTATTCTCTCCCAAATGTGTTTTCTTTTCTCAATGCAACCCTCTTCTCTCACACATTCACCCACACACTATAAGAAATACCTTACCTTCATGCAGAACCAGATGGAAAAAGGAAATGTGGCTAAGATGAAAAGGAGAGAGAGGAAGACAAGCAGCCACTCACAAACGCCTAGGCCTGGGGACTTTATACCTAAAGAGAAACAGATAAAAGCCCTCACTAGATGAGATGCTGATTTCATCTCTCGCAGCAGTACACTATTAACAAATAAAGAGATCATCTGTTTATTCTAAAACCAGCTTGCTTTCAGTATTTAGGCACCTAATAATGAAACGTATTCATTGCCTGAAGTTATAAAAGAGGGAACCCTGTTTACCTTAAAGTGTAATTTGAACAACAGAGAATTCTAGGATACAATTGGACTCTTCCCATAGAATTAAATCTGTTTATGTTATTAACAAAAAATAGATTTCAGCTGAAAAAGGAGAAGTAGGAGTAGCAATAGCAGTTGAAGTTATTAAATGGGGTTCTGCTTTTCTGGGCTATAATAGGAATGCACTAAAACTGAAGGAAGGTGAGATAGCCTGCTCAGTTCCAAATATTTCACATTAAAAAGAAGACCATTCTACAGTACTGTCTTAATACAGTACTTCTGTTCTCATGACAGTACGGTTTCTTCATTTGTATATCTTTAAAGCCTTGTCTTTGTCCATAGTATGCTGCATTATTTTACTCTGCATGACCCAATCCTAAAATATCATGATGTGTCTGCTCTGCTAAGAAATCTGAAGGGAAACATAGTGCTGATGTTGGTTAGGGTTGGACATGGGTTTAATTACATCTTTCTTCTAGTAAAACCTATCTCCCATTTGCAGGATCTCATTTAAAATGCCTCCACTGGTCATTGCAATGTTTCTCCAGATGGAAAAAATTAACCCACATGGGGTGGGGAAGACTTTGGGAAAGGGCCAGGTCTCAGTGGCAGAGCACATCCTTTGCATATGGAAAATTCTAGGTGGGATTGCAGTGGCACTATATCGGGCTAGGGAAGGTGCCTGTCTGAAACCCAGGGGAGCTGCTGGAGGTCAGCATAGAAAGTGCTAAGGGGTGTAGTATTAGGTGCACTGTGTTTCTATAACTGTAAAGCAATGTTAATTTGTTGTGTGAATTGGAATGAAAATGAATGTGAGCTTCTGAATGCTTATCACCAGTTTCTTCTTTGTTAGTCCAGGTTCTCTTCATGTGATTCTCTATATTCACTAAACACAGAACTCCCAGATGATGAGGTTGGGATGGAGTCAGCAACTGGGATCCTTTCGGCTGCCAGCACCAGCACTGCCCAAGAACACTTATTTTGCATCCACGTTAAATACGTTCTGGTCCTCTGATCAGTGCTAGGCAGCTGGATTGCAGAGACATTAAAACTAACGTCATGGACAAAACTGTCCATGACATTCCAGAACAACACTATAATGGAGGCATTGTGGAAACCTAAAATGGAGGCTAACCCAAGCCTGGTGCTTCCCATTAGGACACACCACTGAGCATGCTGGTTAGGGACCACTCAAAACTGCAGCTCACCCTGCCAAATGAGACCCAGACTGTTCATCACTCAAGTAAAAATTTAAGGTACAGCCTTTCATGTATGAGCTCCCTTCCTCCTGCCTGTGCCTGACTTCTGTGCAAGCTGGGTAGCTTAGTGTCCTAGGTAGAGGTTGGCAGTTCAATTTCCCACTGTGCCTCCTTGATAGGAGCTGGACTCAGTGATCCCCAGGGTCCCTTCCAGCTCTGCAATTCTAAAATTATTATTATAACTTTATAAAAAGACTAGCATGCAGCTATGGCTTACTTTACTGTATATGTGGAACCACTGGAAGAATTCACAGTGGTACCTGAACAGCTTTTGTGTTTTTCCAATAAACTGTTTGCTTCTGGGTCTAATTGTGCATCTCTGTCTTCAGTAAAATCAGCATCAGGTTTAAAAACCCATATGATATATTGTCAGAAAGTGAGGCCAATGTTGACCATGTCTCCTCTATCCCCCTTTCACCCTAGTGTGGGATATCATAATACCTAGTATTTTCTCCACCACTACTCTTAATTTACCTGGGCATGATCTACTTGGCTGCAATCTGGAGGATGAAGGTACATAAACTGAATGTGATCACATAATCTTGTCTGTAACTAAGCAGCAACAAAGACACTGAGAGAAGATAGAGGCCATAGTTCTTGGTACCAACAGCCATGACACAAGTTCCTCAATCTTAATATGTACCCTAGGTCTCAGCTGAACAGACTAGATTCAATTACTAAAATAAGCTCCAGTAAAGTCCGCAGCTGAAATCCAGTAACAATTTGCAATTGGAGTAGGCCCATGGAATCAATGAAACGTACAGATGAGTTGACTCATCAAATCCCAACTGATTCAGTGGGGCTACTCGAGTTGTGACCTACTACTGGATTTCAGCCTGTGCTTTCTAGAAGTCACCTTCTTCCTGTGTTGACCTTGCTTTTTCTCTTACCTTCCTCGTGCTTTTCGCTCTCGAGCAGGGCCATCACCTCTGTTCCCTCCTCAAATGGTACGACATCGTCCACGTCTACCACAGTGGAGGTATGGACTTGGTTGTCAGCCTCAAGAGTGCTCTTTGTTTCCCTGTGTCTTTTCCTCTTTTTGGACTCCTGCCTCTCTCTGCTAGTTTTGCGGCTATATTCCACCTTCACCTTCTTGCCATCTAGAGGTGATGGCTCCCTGCTTCTCCCATGGTGCTCTGTGGAAGAGTTTTGAGATGTCCTTTCTGCTTTCATCTTAGTATCTGCTAAGAAAAGCAGCTCTGTCTGAGAATGTGGGAAGCTATGCAGCCTGGTAATTTATGTTGTCCAAAAGGGAGAGCTAGGGGGAGGATTATGCATCATCATCACCCAGGTGGGAGGGTATGTTTTTATGTATATGGAGCACTTGCACAACCATGAAGAAGAGTGGCTGAGTTGTTAAGTTGGGACAAAAAACAATAACAGTACAGTAAATCCTGCTGCATCTTAGTCAGTTGTAGTATCTGAAAACCACCTTCCCCCAACACCTTTTTCACTGTAAATTGGTGACTGACTTAAAAATATTAATAGCTCTGCTCAGATCTTGCAAACTGACAGCATCTTATGGTAGGTCCTCCTTTCTTTCTGTTGTTACAGATCTACATTATTTCATGTGATTTTTAAATGGTATCCTCACTAAGTCACTGTCAGATTATAGATCCTATTTGCACTCACAGACTACACCACAGAAATCATGGGTCACTCAGTTCACAGCTTTGCAGTGGCACAAAATGTGAAGCTAATGCATGGATCCTTGTTGATCCATATGATTTTTCTTCACAATCCTCCCCAAACCACTGTCCAATCATATGCCCCGTCTTTACTCACACGCTGAAACACAGAAAGTGTGGGGCCTTCAGTGCATTGTTTTGCAGTCACACAAAAACATGGATCTGAAGCAAAGATCCTCATGGAGCCAATCCACTGTCCGGTCATATGGATCATCAGTGCCCACAGTCTACAAGACAAAAATCATAGGTCCCCCAGAGCATAATTAATTTATTTATTTTACGATCAACAGATCAGATGTATCCCCCAGAGCATGTATTTGCAGTGGCAAAAAAACATGGATCCAACATACGGATCCTTATGGATTCACATCATTTTTCTGCAGGATCATCCCCAAATCACTGAACAATTATCAGCTTCATTTGTTCTCACAGATTACACCACAAATATCATGGGTCCCCCAGTGGTGCAAAAACAAAGATCTGATGCACTATTTTCATAGATCCACATTATTTTTATGTAGGGTCCTCCTCAAAACACTGTCTAATCATAGGCTCCATTTTTACTCACACACTAAAACACAGAAATCGTGGGTCCCTCAGCGCAAGGCTTTGCAGTGGCACAAAAACATGGATCAATATGATTTTTATGCAGAATCATCTTGAAATCACTGAACAATCATCAGTCTCATCTGAGCCCACAAACTTCCCCACTGGAATCATGAGCTTCTTAGTGCATGGCTTTGGAGTGGAGAAAAAAATATTAATTGAAAGGCATGAATCCCCATGGATCCACTTGTTTTTTTAGGTGGGATAATCCCCAAACCACTGTCCAATCATAAAATCTCTGCACACAGACTACAAAACAGAAACAATGTGCATGGCTCTGCAGTGGTGCAAAAAAAAAATATCCAAGGCTTGGATGATGATGATGATCATCATCAACAACAACAACATCTTACAGTTGCAGAGCTGTAAAGGATCCTATGCATCATCAAATCCATAGGAGACATAGTGGGGAATCAAAATCCTAAGCTCTGGCTTCACAGCCAAATACCTAAACCATTGAGCTATCCAGCAGTTCTTGGATCCACATGATTTGTACATAGGATCATCTCAACCCACCAACCAATGATAGGGCCCATCTTTGCCCACAGACGACACCCCAGGAATCATGGGTCCCCCAGAATAATGGTTTTGCAATGGTGCAAAAACATGAATCTGATGCACAGATCCCTGTGGATCCACATGACTTTTAACTGGGATGATCCCCAAGCCACTGTCCAGTCATAGGCCCCATTTGTGCCCGTAGATTACAACACATAAATCATGACGACAGACACATTCTGATTGGTCAGAATGCTATGCTATGAAAATGTTCGCATTTCCATTCTATGTGCCTGGTAGGATAGACTCAGGTTACTCTTTTTCGCTTGAGTAAGTATTTAAGCTTGACTTGATTGAGCACCCACTTTCCTGCTTTTCTGGCTGCTTTTACTGTCTCTACCAACATCACATTTCAAATTACAGTGGTGCCTCACTTGACGAGGATAATCCGTTCCAGCAAAATCGCTGTAGAATGAAACCGTTGTCAAGCGAGAGTAAAAAACCCATTGAAATGCATTGAAAACTGGTTCAATGCATTCCTCAGCGTCCAGTGAAGATCCTGCATAGGGCAGCCATTTTCCGGTGCCTATATAGCGAGGAATCCGTCCTAAAACGCAGCGGCCATTTTGAAACCCCAACGATCAGCTGTTTTGATTGTTGTTAAGCGAAAAATCAGTTCCCGAAGCAGGGAACCGATCGTCATTAAACGAAAAAAACTCCATACAAACATTGTTTTGCAATCGCTATAGTGATCACAAAATACTCATCGTAAAGCGATTTCCTCATCTAACGAGTTAATCGTCAAGCATGGAACCACTGTACTTGAATTCTGTCCTTGTCTTTCTTCACTATCTTCCTTTCACATAGTAAAAGGAAGACCTTGGTTTACAGTAACATTCTTTGCTAACTCCAATCTCTTCATTTTTTAAAAATTTCAAAAAGCAAAGGGATAATTTTTGGAAAATGCACTCAACATATCTGTTGAGCTTTTGGTCCAATACAGGTTTTCTTCCTCAGCTTGCCTAACTCAAAGAAGGGAATATGAAATTGGAACATAGCTTTCCAGTCTCCGTTTGGTAGAGTAGGCATGGCAACATTAGATTAACTGAGAAGTTAAAGTGTGTATGTATTTCTCCATTGTATGTGTTGTACCTACTCACACCTTTGCTTCACCATTTAGTTACCGTATTTTTCGCTCCATAAGACGCACCAATTTTTTAGGAGAAGAAAACAGGAAAATATAATCTGTTTTCTTCACTCCATAAGATGCACAGACTTTCCACCCCCCTGTTTTGTGGGAAAAAAGTGAGTCTTATGGTGCAAAAAATACAGTAAGTCCAAAACAGCCCTTCAAAATATTTTGGCACAGATGGAGTGAAAGCACATCCCAGCTGTTCTCATTTCTGTCTTCTCCTGGGAACCATAGTAGAGGCCATATGCTCATATTCTGGAATCCTCTTGTTGTTGTTTAGCTGTCTAGTCGTGTCTGACTCTGTGACCCCATGGACCAGAGCATGCCAGGCCCTCCTGTCTTCCACTGCCTCCCAGAGTTGGGTCACATTCGTGTTGGTAGCTTCAATGACACTGTCCAACCATCTCATCCTTTGTCGTCCCCTTCTCCTCTTGCTTTCACACTTTCCCAACATCAAGGTCTTTTCCAGGGAGTCTTCTCTTCTCATGAGATGGCCAAAGTACTGGAGCCTCAGCTTCAGGATCTGTCCTTCCAGTGATCACTTAGGGTCGATTTCCTCCAGAATGGATAGGTGTGATCTCCTTGCAGTCCAGGGGACTCTCGAGAGTCTCCTCCAGCACCACAATTCAAAAGCATCAATTCTTTGGTGGTCAGCCTTCTTTATGGTCCAGCTCTCACTTCCATACATTGCTACTGGAAAAACCATAGCTTTGACTACGTGGACTTTTGTCAGCAAGTTGATGTCTCTGCTTTTTAAGATGCTGTCGAGGTTTGTTATCGCTTTCCTCTCAAGAAGCAGGCGCCTTTTAATTTCATGGCTGCTGTACCCATTTGCAGGGATCATGGAGCCCAAGAAGGTAAAATCTGTCACTGGCTCCATATCTTCCCCTTCTGTTTGCCAGGAGGTGATGGGACCAGTGGCCATGATATTAGTTTTTTTGATGTTGAGTGTCAGGCCATTTTTTGCACTCTCCTCTTTCACCCTCATTACAAGGTTCTTTA